TCCTAACTTTCCAAACCTCCCAAAGAATAAAGGAAGGCAGTATGCGAATGATAGATTGCTTCGCCAAGGAAACGCCACCAACACTCCACCATATATGTAGCAAATCAAGCAATGTAGCCGTGGTTTCTTTGTTAATTTCAAATAGATTAGCAAAATGTCCCCAAACACATTTTATTTTCGGGCAGCCAAAGAAGCAATGGGATATATTCTCTTCATGCATTCTACAAAACAAACAAATAGAAGGCCGAACCTTCGAACCTGGATACCGATATTGCACAAAATCTCTGGAAGTGGCACCAACAAATTCCTGAGCTTCCAAAAAAACGACACCCTTAGAGGAATCAATTAATGCAAAAAAAATTTAGCCAACGGGTCAACTGGATTCCTTCTCCTCAGGCTCAAGAGTGCCGGTGAGGGGGATATCCATGTCTCGCAACATTTGGACCTTTAGCGCTCCAAGCGACCCATGCAGTTTAGTCAAGAGCAAGCCTTTATTAATAAGATAATTTCGTATCGTAAAATTTGGCATTGGAGAAGAGCCATGTGTGCAATCCCACAGTACCCCATCGGGCATCCAATTATCAAACCAGAACAATCTATCACCTCCACGGACCAAGACCTTTGAATTTTTTGCTGCCTCATGCTCAATTTCCGAATTTCAATGTAAAAATATTAGTAATGATTACTCTGTATTTTCAACTTTAACTATTTTCCAGAATCTCATACAACAATCTGTTATGTGAATGCGAACGGATTGACAGGCAATAAATTCTCAATTCACCGTTACAATTTATAATATCAAATATTGATCATTAACTGATGAACATTCATACTTATATTAAGTAAAGTTGATAATTTTGTTCATTTATACATTTTCTTCTAATTCTAATATATTTGTTATATCAATGTAAAGGGTCGGATACACAAAAAAAAAGTTGGGGAGCCTGTGATTTCACGGGTTATATCTAGTTGTAATTAATAATAGATCGGGGTTTGGGACATTTGGAGGAGCACTTTCTAAAAGATGTGTTTATTCTTTTAGAAATCTATGTCACTCATCAAATTTCTTTTTCTGATGATTTGTTTTAATTGTGCAATCAATAAAATCATAGACCGGCCATTGGCCACGTATTCATTTGTTTTTACTTTTTTTTTTATCATTGTTAGTTATGATAATAAAATATATAACGTGAGGTTTTTTATTATTTGTTTTTTATTCCAATGCAATATATTCTTTTTAGTTATACGTTATTTTATTGAGCAAGCTCGCCTGGGTATTCGTTTGAGGCAAGTTATTATTATACTAATATCAATACATTTTATTACAAATATAAATTCTAAGAGATCGCCCAGATATCTGCCGGGCCAAGCATCTAGTAAGACAATTATTATTGATGAAAAACTGTAAAGAGCCAAGTTGAAACCCCAATTGAATAAAAGACCTAATTGAACCTCTGCCAAAGCACAGTTTTCTCCAATCGAAAAGGCCCGATCGTGCAGATCTTCCAACTAAGGAAAACAACAATAGGAACCACCGGACGAGATTGACGATAGGAAACGGATTGGCTATTGGCATGACGTAACACAGCGGCTGCTGATATCATCCGTTTGCAATAGTGCCAATAAGGTCAGTTTATGGAGGAGAAAATCTTCCTGTGAATGTTGTTGGAAGCAGTATTACTCCTTCTTGGGCAGGGAATTTGGTAGGTAGACTTGCTAATTATGGACCTCCGATGATGTCTTGTTCCCCAAGTAATGGTGAGACTTTAGATGGGTCGTCATCGGGTTATGGACCGGGAACATGTATTCTTCCCACTGATGGTGGTGGTGGTGCTGCCGGAGAGATGAGTAATTCCCCGTCCTTGCTAGATCCAAATCATTCTGGGTCCCTGAATCCTGTCAAAACTAGATAGATTGTGTATTAATTTTGAATTTTACTCCACCCTTTTTGCACCAGCTAAAACATGCACAATTAATATTATGGAAAAATATTGATCAAGTTACTGGTGAAAATACAATTTATAAAGAGGAAAATTTTTCGAATAATTAATTTGTATCCGAATCACTTGACAAGACTTTTTTTCATTTCATTTTTTCAACATGTAAATTAAAATCTACTACCAAAAGTAATAGACCCTGAGAAAATATATGCACGTTAACCGTCAAAAGTTAAGCTCATGTTTTGTGATTTGTGAAAAGAGAGGTTACTTCTCTCGGCATAATGTTATTTCCACGAAATAAACAATTATTTCGTTTTCACATGAACTGAAAACTAAAAATTGCCTAATTTTTTTTTTCAATAAGTCGTGTAAAGCGAACAAAATAAATTTTATAAGAGTTAATCAAATTTTTTGTTTTTTATTAATTAGTATAAAATTTTATCTATGCTAATAACGGCTATCTAGACATGTTAAGGGGCTTGTCCTTTTAGATCAAATTTCTCTTCTTTTTGGTTTAAAATTTTATCTTCCGTGCACATTAGCTGTTATTACAATCTTTGAGTTCACTCTTTGCAATACAAGAAATCGAACGTCATCGTGATTGCATTTTCTAAAATAGTGTTGTATATATTTTATATTTACTATAACGTTGTGTTACAATCTTCAAACAACAGGAATTATATGTTTGAAACTAATGAAATATTTGATAATATATTATTACCATTCATTTAATTAGATTTGGCTAGAAATCGTAACCGAAAATAATTCATTAAGATTAGTGAAATAGGATTCGGGTTGCGAGTCGTTAGCCAGCAAAGCAATTTTGCACTGTGCTTCTACTGTGCTTGAGCTCGCCAGTAGTCAGTCTTCAATAAAATATATTATTGTGGTCCCAAAAATACAAAGTGTAACATATTAATTTTGTATTTTCATTTTAATTTTGTTCTTCGAATTTTTATAAAATATTTTTAAAGTTTTATTAAAATGCCATATTCCACATCATTACTTTATTGACTTAAATCCAGCGAACAAAAAAATTATAAAACAAGTTCTCATGGAGATGCATGGGAATCGGAGAATCTTACGTATACTCCTTACAAGTATATATACATGGATCTTTCATTCGCAGGCTGTGAATTTGCCCTTCAATTCGTAATTCTCTTGGTGAATTGGTTTACTGATCAAGGCCGTTTTTATACTTTGGAAAAAGGTTCATAAAATGAAGGTGCCATCGTAAATTTAAATCCAAGGGAACTAATTTTTTTCAAGGTACATAAGAAGCCCTTTTGGAGTAAGAAGACAGGAAGGATTTCATAGCACGGCAATATATAAAACAATATTCTTTAGTTCGAAAAGAGTACAATAAAACGTTACAAATGCTGCCGATATATCATCACCAACTAGTTCCATACGATCAAATTGTGGTATCTTCCTAATAAGAGGCAATTCAAGTTATAATAACTTAGTGCTTAATAAGAGGATTAAGAACGCTACCTATGAATAACACAGCCCCAGTTTCTTCCTCATTAATCAGGAAAATAAATGGATGGTCCGCAACAAAGTCTAGTGACTCCGGTGGACTAGTAGACCGATATAACCCTAAAATAGCGACAGTTGCAGCAGCAGCCACTATAGGAAAAATGGCCTTTAGCGTCACTAAAAATGTGAAGCTAAAAGGGGTAAAAGTGTCGCAAAAAAGTAATTGCGACAGAATATGCGACATATTCCAAAGTGTCGCAAAAAGTGCGGTCGCAAATCTAGCGACACTTTTTAGGGAAACTGCCGCAAGGATTGCGGCACTTATGTGACACTAATAATATGCCTCCGGAATTAGCAACACATATCATGTCATTTGTTATATTTGCCGCATTCGAATTGCGACATAAATTTGTGTCAGTTAACTAATGTTGTACAAGTATCGTGACACTTTTTTGCGTCAGATGCTACAAATTGCGTGATTAGTTGCGTCAATTTTTTGTTTTAAATTACTGCTATAATCTCTCTTTGGAGCCTCAATATTAAACAATTAATTATAAAAGTATGTACAATTATATCATATATCATATATAATTATTAATGAATTTTAAATGCTGCATTAAAAATGTGGAAAAGAGTAATACTAATACACAAACTGTCAATGTACAATTACAAAAATTATCGTTGAAATAGCTACTCTAATAAATTCATACAAAAAAAACTAGAGACACTAATTTCCTAATCTTATGAATATATCCCATTGATGCTTTCTCCAAAATCTCTTTTTGTCCAGCTTTTCAATGGGTGTTTTATCCTGCAATCTCCAATTCACCATCTCAGGATCTTCAATCAAAGATCTTCAAGCCTCAATATATAACCATACATCTCAGCCTTTCAATTGAAAATAAACAACTATAGAACCAAAAGAAACAAGTTGTTTACAACATTACCAAACTTCCAGATCTTTAACCCCCTTGCACTTTCAGCTTTTTGTTTCCTACCCTCTTTCAAGTAGGCTGCCGACTTTTCTGATACAGAAGGGGAATGAAAAGTGAGAAAGAGGCAAGAGGAATGCTATCATTTGAGCAGCTTTTAACTTCTTGAATGGGGTAAAGATAACTTTTGGAATGTCTTTGACTCAATTTCACTTGTAAAATTAAAGGAAGCAAAATAAGTAACCAGGAACAAAAATAAGATGTCAAACATGAATATCTGCCTAAGCCCATCTTGTCTAAACTGGGTTAGTCAAACTTGACAATCAGGGATGTAGGAAATAGAGTAGATACCGAGTTATAATCAAGAAATTAAATAAGAAACATCAACAAAATAATTTAATCTGAACATCATTAACAAAGTAGTCCATACAAATTAGATTAAATACAAAATAGCAATTTATCCCATGTATGCAAACTGAAATCAATCTCTCAAAAGGGGGGGACAAAAAGAACCAAAACTTTAAAACTAGTAGTCACATTCCCAACAAACATAGATCCGGAATCAACTTCTCCCTTTTTGCTTGAGAAGTAGCTGCCCTTGCAAGGTCTGTCAATGCATTAAAAATTGTTTCTCGTCAACATCGAAAACCTAGGACTGCAACCAAGAAGGAAACCCAAGCAAACATGGGAAAAAAAGATGAAGTTGACCTTGAGCACAGCCCATCTCCTCAAAGATAGCTTGCATCTCGCAAAGAGCGGCAGCTTCACCCTCCATCTCCTTTAATCGCTTTTTCATCTCATCTAGCCCCCACAAACTCAATCAATTAAAAAACAATATAGATCTATTGAATAAATCTAGAAAGGAGAAATAGATAAAAGGCAAAAGTTTCTAGCACCTTAACGGCTCAGTGTTGGTCATGTCGACGCCGACGTTATCCCCTTCTATCTAACCTTAGCCGGGTAATTAACCGCCATACACCTCATGCTCTTCTTCGACCATTTTCTTCTGATGCCCGATTAAAATCTCAAGCCGGCTTCTGAGCAGATCTGAAAGTAGCATTGTGGATGAGAGAAAGGTTGTAGCCTGGGTTGAAGATCTGGTTCCTGCATGCTTTTCGCTTAACCAAACGATTTGCGCGATTGCATATTGCGGCGGCTATGGGAGGCGGAGGGGGCAGCAAAGGAAGGAAAAAGGGGAACCCTACAGTATCATATTTGTTTTTATGGAGAAAGAAGTTTAGTATTGGACACTTATAAAAGCCAAATTCCCGAGTTTCCCTCTTACTTCCTTTTTCCCTCCATTTTCTTATTCCAATTTTTATGTATACTTTTTGTAGGGTAAACGTTCCCTCTAATATTTTGTTTTGGCATTTTCTCTGCATTTTTTAAAATATTGTTATACTTTTGTACGAAAATAATTATGCTTTCCCTAAAAAGTATACCGTTTGCTTAATCCTTATCAGTTATAAATCATAATGATTTTGGTATATTAATTAAGTGACACTATTGTAAAACTTTTAAGATATAACAACATGTATTAGGAAAACTCTCGTAATCTTAGTTGATTTGCTTGTTCTTATATCAAAATTAAATCATAAAAAAATTAATGTGAGACAAAAAGAGTATATGTGTTAGACAAATTCTTACTATAGTGATGTTACCAAAAATTATGTAGGTTATAATTGTGTAACTACAAAAAACAACATTGTTTTAAAAATTATATACAGATAGAACTTACTCCCTCCATCCAGCCATTATTGTCCAGTTTAGATTTTTATTCTCAGTACAAATTGAACAAAAAGTGAAAATTCAATATTATCCAGTTTGGATTTTCTTTTTCAGTACAAATTCATTAAAATTGAAAATTCAATATTATAAAGGGAATATAATAATAATCTCTCCACCCATTGTAATTGTACACTATACTTTTTTAATACAGTTGACAATGAGAAAATATGGACTATTTTTGCGAAACAAAATAAATACTTTAACAGATAAAACTAATAAAGTATAAAATAGTGAATAGTTTATATAAATGAATATACTCTCTCTGTCAATATCTAAACTGAACAACCATTTACCAGTAACAATGTAATGTATGGAAAATTTTTTGGAAGCAACTATTTAACCACAAAATTACTACAACTTTCTCAGTTCGTGGATAATTCATGGATAATGTGCGGTTAAGTCATTAATTCATGGAATAAATATAATCAAATTTTGATCAAACTTTTATGGTTATTATATGGCTAATCCATGGTTGTTTGCCCACGAACTAACCACCACCATCTAAAATCCTTGGGTAATCAAGATTTTTCTTGTAGTCAATAGACGAGACTCAAAAATGTAATTAGAGACGAGAAAAGAAGTTTTAAAATAAATTTCTGACACTTTAATATTACACTAAACCCATGACACTTGATTAAATTGTCTCACTAAATTCATGCAACTTGATAATAGTACCGTGAAGAACGGTGCGGCAACAAAATTAATGTCGCATATTTGAAGCAAATTCGTAGCATTTTCTGAAAATGACATAATTGAGTCACAAATTTGAGGCAAAAACCAAATTATGTCACAAAGTGAAGACATTTTATTTTAGCGTCATAAATATGTGACACAAATTTGCGTCACAAAAATTGATGCCGCATAAAAGACACAAAATTGCAGCACATCATAAAGTGCCACAATTATGCCACAAATATGCGGCACAATAGCAAGTACGCCGCAAATTTACGGCACTACTCTGCGGCACCACCTGTAAAAGTGTCGCCAAAGGCTATTTTTCTTGTACTGAGCTTCTGTACCTTCTTCATTAACCTCAATGAAGGATTGGTGGAAGATAGCCTCAACCTCTAGATCCTCACCACCAGAGTCTACCATGTTAGTAAATCCGCCAGGAGAAAACGGCAAAACTAGGCCCAAATCTTTCAGAAGTTTGGAAGCGTCAAAATCAAATAAGATCTTGAACTTTGGAATGCGGAAGTCCCCAACTTCAACTAGTTCACGAGCAGGGTGGCCATCTATGAAATCAGGTTCAGAGCCTAATTTTTCCACCAATGCTTGTAACTCCTTCATCTTATCGGGGAGAAAGAAATACATCCAAAAGTATCGACCATTTTCCTGGCCTTCGCAATAAGGAAGGCGCAATACTTTGAAACCATCATAGGCACTTATATATTGCTTTTTGTGACTAGTCATAAAAGGGGCTTTGATTCTGTTCCCATTCAAGAGGTGGAAGTCGTGCTCTTTCGTCAGTGAAGCATCAAACATTTTCTTCCAGGCTCCCTTGAAATACAGGGCATTAGCAATAATTAGCTTTGTATATTCGTTGACAATACCTGGTGGAATGAGATCTTTGATGTGACCATTTGTTTTATTTTCCCCCAATCATTCACTTCCACTCTGACCTCGTTAGGCTGTAATTAACGATAAACATAAAACACAAATAACAAATCAGAACTCATGAAAATCCACAAAAAATCTCCAACAAGAATGATTCTTAGTGATTTAAATGCAAGGAATACACAAATATGGATTAAGCAGATCAAACTCATATTATTTAAATTAAAGTAAAATAATTATTAATTTTTATTTGAATGCTAGTATATTCGCAGTATCGTTGCATCTTGAATATCTCGTACTTTAAATATTATTGACAATATTTATACTTTAGTACTTAAACTCACAACTTTATATTTACTTGAAAATAAATAAGTAATTAGGTTTTACTTAAAAATAAATTTAAGATTATTCGTTAAATTAATTTATTTAAAAATTGATATTAAAATATAAAATTTTGCTTCCATCATTATTTTAAGATAATTTTTACTTAAAAATAATAATTATACATTTATAATCAAAAATAATAATTGTACTACAAATAAAAATTATACTGTGCAATGAAAAAATGGCAGTGGTAAAATGGTCAACCCATCCCGGGTTAACTCGGGACGGTTTCATTGTACGATCGGTCAGTATTTTTTTTTAGTTTTCTCTCTAGTCAAGTTATTCGATTTGAAAAATTGATAGGGGTAAAATAGTCCAAATTAAAAATTTGTAGTTGAGAGAACTAAACTTAGTGACTTGAAAAACTAACACCTTTATTATAATTGGACTTGAGCTTTTGAAATTCTTGCTGGTGTTGGTCCTTCGCCGAAACAAAACCGAGAAGAAGAGTCCAATTTGCGTGGCCACGTGAGCGGATTAATTGAATTCGGCAGATCCAATTTCTCTTTCTTGAGAAGAAAGCCACCGTCTGCGTAAAGTATTACTATAAAAAGGGTGCTTGTTCTATTATTTTGAAAAGAACCAGGCGCACAACAAAAGGGTGGTGGGGGCGAGAGCAATTCGAGTCTATTTGGGCTGGTTTTCTCCACGGCGGACGCGTTCTTCTTTTCCGGTTTCATCGTTCTTTTATTTTTATGTTTTTTATTTTTATTTTGAGAGAATGTGTAGCTAAACTATTTTTAATCTAAGGTCTAAGATGTAGTCACCGTATTATTTAATTTAATTTAATTTATGATTATAATTTTTTTATTAATTGATATTTAATATTCGTGATTTTATTTCATGTGATTATTTGATTACCACTTGCATGCTTTAAGGCGTTTAACTGAAGGAATGACGGTTGAAGGTTAGCACTAGTTAATGGAAATATTAGACTTCGGTAGTGAGCCACGACAATAGGAACACCGCCTTTCACAACTAGAAATTCTAAAGTTTTTTATGTACTTTTATTAATCCCTATAGTCACGACAGTAGTCATAGGGTTATTTAAAGTAAGAGAATTATATCACGACAGTGAATAGTTCTTATTCTTGTGAATCTTTGTGAGATTAGTGAAAGCCCGAAGTCACATATCTATAGATTGAATTAAACTGGATAGACGGTAGGTGAACCTTATGCCCTAAGTTTTCTTTTATTTAATTGTTTAGATATTTTGTTAATTTAATTATTAGTTCTAGGTTTAGCTTAGTCTAAAATTGATAAATTGTTAATCTAAATAATAATAAAAAATAGTTTTGATCTGGTATTTGGTAACCTTCACTTTGGGATCGACCCTACTTGCTTCTTTATTAATAGTAACTGTATTAAATAGGTAATTTATATTTGACTAGTGTGATGACGGCTTGTCAGGGTGTAAATATGTGATCTTTTGAATGATTAGAGTGCAATGTAAATTACATTTTACTTAAAAAAAAAATAATATATGTACTACAGAGTAGTAACTTTAGTAGATAATGTTAATTTGATATTCTAATTTTTTTTATCAATTAATATTATAATTTTCAAAAGTTTTTATATTTTAATAATTTTTTGCAATGAAAAATGTAAAAAAAAAAAAAACCTTCACCTAAAATGATGAACCCTTAATTTTGATAACTAAAAAAGTTGTTCAAAATGGTGTAAATCTAATTACCCAAGTTAAATTCATGCCAATTTAAGGAAATGTGTAAAAAATGGTGATATTGGCACATAAGATTTGTTGCCCTTACGTGAACCTTAAGATTATGAATGTTAGGTAGTTTCTACCTTCACCGCCTTCACCGCCACCGCAAATTAATTGGTTTTGTTTTTAATCAAAGTAATACAAGAAGTGGTGATATTCTATTACTGTGTGTTGTTTTCTAGACATTGGTACAAACCGGGAAAGAAAATATAATTGCTTGATCCTTGATAATTTTTCCGGTAACATTTTGCTAGAATCTATTTTGTAAAGGATTCATTACAAATATAGACTAAAATGTCCAAATGATCCTTTACATTTTGGCCTACTTGAATTTACGTCCCTAACATTAACATTTCAATATCGTAATCTCAAACATTATGTTTTCGCACTTTTTTGATACCATTTCACTATTTCTGGCTGTTGACATGCCGGAATCAGGGTATTTTTGTCTTTTAATTTAATTTGAATTTTTATTAAAATTTAAATCATTAAAAATATTTTAAAATTAAAATTTCATTATTTAATTGTTAAAATATTATTTATAAATTAAAAATATTATTATACATTTTTCAAATTTATCATTATTTTCAAAATTACTTTTCTATTTACTATTTACTTTAAATACACAGTAAATAGTAATTATATTGTACTTTTATTTTTGAGCCCACTGTAACTTACAAAATTTACTAAGTTACAGTAAATAATTCAAATTCAATTATTTTTTTAAAAAAAAATGCAACACTAAGTTTTTTTTACTCGACTGCTACAGTAAATCTTAAATGGTAATTATGTTGTACTTTTAACCTTGAACTCACTGTAACTTAAAATATTTACCGAGTTATAGTAAATAATTCAAAATTAAATTTTTTTAAAAAAAAAAAAGTAAAACCAAGATTTTTTTAACTTTGACCGCTATACTAAACCCTAAATGGTAATTATAATACACTTTTAACCTTGGGCTAACTGTAACTTAAAAAATTTACCGAATTACAGTAAATAATTTAAAATTAATTTATTTAAAAAAAAAGAAAAAGAAAAACCAAGATTTTTTTTACTATGACCGTTATAGTAAACCCTAAATGGTAATTATGTTGTACTTTTAATCTTGGACCCAGTGTAACTTAAAAAATTTACCGAGTCACAGTAAATAATTCAAAATTCAATTATTTTCTAAAAGAAAAAGGAAAAACAAGATTTTTTTTACTCTGACCGCTACGTTATTTTTTAACCTTGGACCCACTATAAGTAATTTACCGCTACAGTAAACCCTTATGTTGCACTTAAAAAATTTGCCGTGTTACAGTAAATAATTCAAAATTCAACTGTAGCGGTCAAAGTAAAAAAAAATATCTTTGTTTTGCTTTTTATTTTTTTTTTAAAAAAATTGAATTTTGAATTATTTACTGTAATTTAGTAAATTTTTAAGCTATAGTGGGTCCAAGGTTAAAAGTACAACATAATTAACATTTAGGGTTTACTTTAGTGGTCAGAGTAAAAAAATAATTTTGCTTTTTCTTTGTTTAAGGAAATTGAATTTTGAATTATTTACCGTAACTCAGTAAATTTTTTAAATTACAGTGGACCCAAGGTTAAAAGTACAACATAATTACTATTTACTTTGACCTAAGGTAACTGATACATGAAAAAATTAATTTTGAAAATAATGTAAATTTTAAAATTTTATAATAATATTTTTAATTAATAAATCATATTTGAACAATTAAATAATAAAATCTGAATTTTAAAATATTTTTAATGATTTAAATTTTAATAGAAATTAAAATTAAATTAAAAGATGAAAATACCCCTGATTCCGGTGTGTCAACGGCCGGAAACAGTAAAATGGGACCAAAAAAGTTTGAAAACATAATGTTTGGGACTACAATATTGAAATGTTAATGTTAGTAACGTAAATTCAAGTAGGCCCAAATGTATGGGACCATTTGGACATTTAAGTCATCTATTTAAAGAATCTATTTTGAAAAGGATTCTTTAAATATAGTGTTTAGGTATCGCAAGTTCAAACTTTTGAAACATAAATGTTACAAACCTCGCGTCATCAATCTCCAAACAAAAAAATGTTAAAAAACCCGCCAAAAGTGGAGTCCTAAAAGGTAGATCTGTAGTAGATGATCGACCCCAATTATGTCATTTATACTACTCTCTTAATTCTTAAAAAACAAATCGAAAATGTATTATTGAGGTAAAATGGAAACATTTTATGAACAATTGTCGTTGTTTTAATTAATGTTTGAAGTAGATGATTATTTGTTTTTGAAGAATAACTTGGGGAAGTTATTATTTTTATTTTTCTATATTTCAAGCTTCATGAGCATATGGAGATTTATTGTGATTCTAAGGAATTGTGTGGTGGACTGCACAAATAGAAAAATATATTTAAAAAAAAACTTAAAAAAGATTGCTTTACTTTTATTAACAATTGAGCCCAGAATTTTGAATGTTGGTGTCCTTAAATTGTTAAGCAAAGGAAAAATAATTAATTCCAGTTCTCTAACGCTAGAATTACAAAATATAATTGTATAGTCCAGTGCAACAAGCGCGGTTATTCTGTAGTGCATGCATGCGACCCTTTCGTCTTGGTAAAAGATTTTACACTGCCGGAGTCGTTATCAAAGTTTCAATCGATTGGATTAAGCTGCTGATGCTTTCCATTGTAACTCGAATACAGAAACGCGAAAACTCTTTCTTCATAATATCTGTGTAAAATGTGTGTTTTGACGTTGAGAGCACTCAAGAAAAACTTTCTAATTATGGTGACAGCTGGTTGAAGATTCATCGAGACTGGGTTGACGGGCTGTGG